TTGGTATTTCAACTGATTTCATCTCGTGATGAAAACCCTAAATCCAATTCCTCACCCTAATATTCAACTACTAACCCTCATTTAGCAAGTAGATGGACACTCAAAGGTCATTTTGGCGTTGCTCAAACGTCGTCCGTAAATGATAGTGTCATCGAGCATTTTTGAGAAATCTTATAATTGCAAGGGTATATCTGGGAGATATTCTCCCATATATGTTATTTTTATCGATTTGAGTTTGATCTTACACATGAATTGCATCAAAACTAGAAAAATTGGAATTACTTGTATGGTAAGAGATCAAGTAGTTGACGTTCTGACTGATCGTGGGATGCAACTGAGAGCGAACACTGCATTATCATGGTGATAATCTGTGAAGAATGGGGTTCCAGAATAATTAAAAGTAGCTATTCAACTTGAACCACGGTCTTCGTTCCTCGCTTTTCAAAGAATATTACCTTTCCTACTATCTCGTGTTTGTCCGATGTACTTCTGTTTCCATGATCCTTTGGATTACAGTGGATTGGCACGTTTCGATTATAACAGGTGTTACTGGTTAAGAATGTCAAGCTCCGAAGACTTGTGGCAACTTGACATTTTTATACTTTGATCTATTTTGCCTCTCTGTGAACATATTTTGCCACAGGCCCTTCTCGAGTTGGGTGTGGGTGGTGTGACATTCCAGCCTTTGTCGAAGTAATACATTGTGATTAATACCTGACAAGGAATAACTAGATACTAAAGCTACTTTGATAACTGAATAGAAAAAACGATCTGACTTAAAAAAATTCAAGGCTAGAAAAGTATATATTACAGCCACCGCTGCATGTGACAGATCATGGATAAGGATCAGAGACATTTTATTGGCCCTATGACCCATTTCAAGTCTGTTCGATAAAGTTTTGACGTCTGATGATGAAATTTATTTCAAAAAGGGCAGTGATTTTCGTACTTGTTTCACCAAAAAGCGTTCTTGGTCTACTTTAACTAAAAGTACTTTGGTTAATGTTTGAAACTTTTGCTAAACTTTGTCCTTTGGTACGTTTTTACTCATTGGCTAACACTCGTGTTCACATTGTGATCATATCGCGTTGTAAACCTTTTTAACCAAATTACAATGGTTAGTAAGACTCATAAATGTGGGCAACCAAGTTGCTTGTTCCCCGTTGACGAAGGAATGCACTGCGATGAGTGTAAAAAATGGTACCATACGATGTGTACACTCTAAGTCCTACGGCATACAAAAGATGCTCGAAGCGTAAATCGCATTGGCTTTGTATGTTTTGCTGTACAAATAAAAAGTTACTAATTCAGGAGGCTATGAGCCTATTGGCTTTGGACTGTAAGAAGAACGATGACGGTTGAGCTGATAACACGAGCACTGACGGTGAAAAATGTGTCAGTGTAGTACATGCTGCTACCGGACCCGCTAAACACTAGACTCTGATTGACGGGAAAGTGGAATCTCCGTTAACATTAACGAGGAGTGAAGTGCCGCTTGATATTGACATCGGTAATCATACACCTCTAGTTGAAATTGAACGCTCAGATAAAACTGTCACCGTTCCAAATAGTCCCGAGGTGGCTGTCCTGAGTGATGATAAATGGACTTCAGTACAGAGAAAAAGAAAGGAGAAGAAAAAAGCTGTGGACAAAACACATCTGGTTAGCAAGTCATTGGAAGAGACGGTATCAGAAACAAAAACTCCACTGCGCTTCAAGACAGATCTCTCTGAGATATCAGTCATTTTTCATAACTTAAGAGAATCTTCCGATAAGGAACCAAAGGCTAGATTTGAAAGCGATCTCAGTCATTTTAAGTCCTTATTAAGTAAACTACTCTCAGATACAGTTTCAGGAGTTAGTATTAATAAGCTTTACAGAATAGGAAAAAAGGTGGATCCTGAAAGTCCTCAGAAAAGCTGCCTCTTGAAGGTTACATTCGCCACAGTTTAAGAAAGGAACCTGATTCTAGGTAATGCACGTAAACTGATTAGATCCGGAATATACGTCCGTGAGGATTTCAGCCTAGCTGATCGTATTAAGAGACGAGTTGCAGAAGTGGAAAAAAATGAGCGTCGCCGAGACGGTGAAAGAAACCTCGTTCTTAAGGGCTTTCAAATTGTAAAATTTCAGAACGAAATGATCCCCGAACCACTCATGTTAGTAAGGGAACGTTCTCCACAGACTAAAGGGTATGCTACACAAATGCTCGCAGCCTACTAAATAAGATGGCGGAGCTTAGGTCAATGGCGGATAAAGAAAAACCGGACGTTATTGTTGTCTCTGAAACTTGGTTAACGTCAGAAGTACTATATAGTGAAATCCAGTTGACTGGTTTTTTAACCAGTAGGGCTGATAGATTAAACCGTAGGGAAGGTGGGGTTATCCTGTACACGAAAAGTACCCTAACCATAAGATTAGCTAAGACAGTAGCACATGTTTCAGGGACATGTGAACTAGTGAAATGTAAGTTGAAAGGCCGACGGCAAGATATTGAGTTCGTTGTAGTATATCGCAATCCAGATTGTGTAGCAGATGATTTTATCCTAAGTAAACTTAAGTCCTGGTGTAAAAACGGTAAAAGTCTTGTAGTAAGAGACTTTAATGCACCATATATAAATTGGATTAACTTAGAAATAGGGTCATCGATATCGTCGTTCGACTGCAAACTGTTAGAAACCTCGATTGGATTAGCATTATTCCAACACATTAGAGATCCCACAAAATACGACTTAAAAAACTCTTCTTCTCCATTAGATTTAGTCTTCACACACGGTGATGACATTTGTCAATTGACTTTTCTCCCACCACTATACAGTCATCTCATTTAAATTCATGACTGAGATTGCCTGTCAAACAGTTGCGCCGGCCTGTTCTAATATATGGAAGGTAGATATGGAGGCAATCAACTCCGCTTCATCGACTCAAAACTAGGAAATTTATTCAAGGTCATCAGTACGAGAGGCATGGACTCTATTCAGGCAGTTATACAATCGGGTAACTCTACCATACATACCCTGGACAGTTCCAAAGAAGAAGCACGGTCATCTCTGGGTAGGCCGGGATATTCGACGTTTACTAAGACAAAAGAAGAAATATTAGGATGTTGCCATCCGCCTTGGCACGATGGAAATCTACAGATCGGTAAGAAAGAAGTGTATAACAGAAATTCGGGAAGCTCAACGAAAATATGAAATGCAGTTGGCACAATCTGCACTCAAGCAGCCCAAGATTACATTCTCGTACATAAACTACAAAACAAAGATGCATCATTGGATTCCCAACCTAATTAAAGAAGGAAGGGAATCTGAAATGATAGAGGAGGATCAGGAAAAAGCAGAGGCTATGGCTGACTATTTTTGGGCAGTTTTCACTCAGGAACCTCCTCTAGACAAAGAACCAAACCAAAATAAACGGTCAATAAACCATCTGCTCACCGTAGGCTTCGATCAAGACGATGTGCTTAAGGCTCTTAGCACCTTAAACGTGGAAAAGTCAACAGTACTAAATGAACTACACCCTAAAATCTTGAGACATATTGCACAATATATCGAGGCCCCACTGTCTGTGATATTCAATATGCCACTTGACCAATGTGTGTTACCTATGAACTAGAAGGACTCAATCGTCACTCCCATACATAAAACAAGAACAGGACAACTTCCATTGAATTACAGACCTGTAAGCCTCACCAGTGTTGTAGTTGAAATATTGGAAGGAATAGTCAAACCGACCATAATGGCATTTATGGAAACCAACAACTTGCTAAGTATAGAACAACATGGTTTTGGAAAGGGTCTATCTTGCACAACGAACCTCCTTATAGCAAGGGAGTTCTGGATAGTAAGTCACAGACAGAAACTAAGAATAAATTCCAAGTGCTCCATCCGGAGACCAGTACTTACTGGGGTACCTCAAGGTTTCGTCCTAGGTCCTTTACTTTTCACAATGTATGTTAATGATCTTACAAGTATAGTGCAGTCTCCAATCTTATCATACGCTGACGATGTAAAGATCTGGCGAGTAATAACTGGAGATACAGACGCATGTGCCGTTAAGACAGACTTAAATGATATGATTAACTGGTCTAAAGAGTGGCTGATGCCCATCAACGCGGCAAAGTACATCTACATGCACTTTGGGGATTCAAAGGTTAAAAGGTACAACATAGGGGAAGTACCATTACCCGTAGTCCGGCCTCATAAGGATCTAGGGGTGACAGTGAGTAATGATCTTAAGTCGGCGGCCCATTGCCGGGAGGTCGCAGCCAAGAGGTTTCGAACCCTCTGGGCTTTAAAACGGACATTCACTAAGTTAGATACTAAAATGTTCACCACAGTATACACATCCGTAGTGAGAACTAAGCTTGAGAACTGCGTTCAGGCTGAAAGCCTCTGTTTAAAAGGTTACTCGGATGTCCTAGAAAAATTACAGAGGGCAGCTACCCGTGCAATCCCGGAACTCCGGGGCGGCTTGAAAAGCTGGACCTCTTTACTCTGTCCTATCGCAGGCTAAGGGGAGACCTAATTTTGATGTACAGAATAGTGAGAAATGATTTTGAACCTAACGTTTTCTTTTTTTCTTCCCACTAGATTGGGACATCTCAGAGAACACAGCAGGTGAGTAGAATAGCCAAGAACGAACAAAATATCCGTGGCACACAGGTTTTCACACCGAGTCATCAATACTTGGAACCTGCTGCTCGAAAAAGTTGTGTCCGCACCTTCAACTAACTCTTTCAAGAGGAGACTGGACACTCACAGAAGCATACTAGGAAAGGAATAGCATAGGCCATAGGCCTTCTGTCCTTACTACACAAATCTGAAAGACCACCTAATATAAGTAATACAGACCCTGTCATACAGAATGGACCTGACATCTCAAAGCTACAGCTATACTGAAGTTTCATGATCGAGATTTTGAGTAAAACACAAAAGTTGTGTTGCTGTAGTTTTATTGAACATCATGGTCTTCTCTATTTGTTTAGCTGCATCAGTGACATTTACTGGAATTCTGGAAGCGTCAGCGAAATGTCCGATAATGATGCTCATGTGTCTGATGCCCAGCAACGGGTCGAAGATGAATATCTAAAAGATTTTATGGATTTAAGCCCATGTGGTGATCGTGGTATCCTCAAAAAAGTATTGCGAGAAGGCTATTCTGACGTCAAGCCATGTGATGGCGACACTGTGGTTGTACATTATGTCGGGACTAACTATGGTGGGGAAAAACACGGTGAAGTCTTTGACTCAAGTAGGGCACGGAATGAGAAGTTTGAATTTACTATTGGAAATGGTAAGTGTGTATCCATCCTGACTACTCTTTCAGGTAGTGTAATTAAGGCTTGGGATGTCGGTGTCGCCACAATGAAGTTGGGAGAAATTTGTGAATTAATCGCGTCTCCTGATTATGCCTACAAAGATGGTAAAACTCTAAAGTTCGAAGTGGAGCTTTTCGAAACCTTGGGTAATGTTTAATATGTCGCATAATGAACAGATTAGGCTCTGATGTCAGCAGAAACAATGATGGGAGTATTCGTAAATCAACTATTAGGAAAGGGAAGGATATCTATAATCCTGTTGCTGGTGCTGAGGCCACAATTGTCTTCCGTAATTTGACGGATTCAGCAGAGAATGTGGAGGTGACATATTGCGTCGGTGATCCCCCGTTAACTGTACCAGAAGAATTGGATGTATGTGTTCGTCATATGAATACAGATGAGTTTAGTCGTGTTGTGGTATACAAAGATAAGAATTCAGCAACTGAGGGTGCAGACGCACGTCGGGTAGTTTATGAATTAACACTGAAGTCTTTTGAAAAGGTAATCAAAGACTTATTTCTCGTTATTATTAGACTAAACATCTGTCTGGTATCTCATCATTCTCAGAGCAGATGGCGTATGCAAATGTACTGAAAGAAAAAGCCAACAACTTCCTAAAGGTTTGTCGCTGTTTAGTCACTATGTCAGGATTCTAAATTTGATTCTGCTATTGAATTGTACAAACGTTTAGATGACGAGTTGCAGTACATAGTGGCTAATGGCCCTGCAGAGCAAAAGGAATTATCCGCAGTTATTGTGGCCGTCCGACTTAATTTCGCTTTGATTTACCTGAAGCAATGTAAACCAGATAAATGTATTGAGTTCTGCAAGAAAGTATTGGACGTTTTCTGCAACAACGAAAAAGCGTTATTCAGGATAGGTCAGGTAAATTAAATACACAAAATTATGTTTCCAGGCGCATCTGCTGCGTAAAGACCACGAGGAGGCGTCAGTTTACTTCAAGAAAATTGTAGAAAGCAATCCCAACAATGCGTCTGCTGTAAAGCAGTTGCATATGTGCGAGGAAGAGATTAGAAAGGCCCAAGATATGGCAAAGAAAAGGTTCCGAAGCATTTTTGAGCGCTGTAAAGACGTAAGTCGAAATTGCTTGTAATTGCTCTTCTAGTCTGGATTGGATGGTGTTGAAGAGCACAAAGACGGTGTCACGTTGAATGGCGACAAGTCTGCATTGTAAAAGTTTGCTCGTGAATGTAATCTGAATGAGCAACCCGTGATTTTGTAAATGTTCCCCATAATTGTTACCGGTTTCAAAGTTGTGAATAAATCATTGAACCTAGATTTGTATTCTCTAATGATTAATAGCAGCACATAGGGTTACCTTAGAGCTCATACTCTATAGAAATTCTAATTGTTGTCAGTCTGCATAGTATTGTTGACTTCATGATCAGATAATTACCCAGTAATCGGTTGTTTATGTATTGGCTCGTTTTTTGTTTTGAATGCCTCTGGTTATGCTTCTAGCTACTTGAATGTACGGTGAACGGACATAACCGCAAATAATAACGCTTAGCTCTGGCTAGGAGTACAATATACCGTGTCGCGGGAGGGTTTTTAGACTACCTTAGCTCCAGGTAGCAACTATGGTAATGTAAATCACTTTTTAGCGGCGTAAAGTACCCTCCCTCTAGTATCAACTCAGTCATTGATATACTCCAGTGTCGTCCCTGTTAGCCCCTGGTCAACAGTCGAGAGGGATTATTAGGGTCGTAGTAAGCTTATCCGTATGACATTTGTTGCATGGACCACTTGATGCTGCGTGGTAGCATAATGAATCCAACCAAGACTGCGTATCGAAAAGTGGGAGTGGATGTCTGAAATATGAACAACCCGTTTTGTGGAGGGAGTTGATGCATTCATCTGGGTCATTGAGGTAGGCTTCCTGTTATATTTTAGTGGATCTTATCCCAGTTAAATCGTACGCTGATTGCTGTCAAAACATGCATGCCACCAACTTCCGTATACTATTATTGACTTAATTCGCGTTAGTGATCAACGGATTGGAGTAATCCAAGTTTGAGGATGTATTTTGGATTTGCATACTTTGCACACATTGATGCAAACAGACATCGGAAAGAAGGGGAACGGATGGAAGTGGTACACAACAGAGGCGAGTGAGCCAACTGGTCTAGGCCGAGCGTGACTCAATATTTATATTCAGACAAATAAGTTGCAGACGCGTAATGAATAGGTCGAGCGGTCATATGAAAACATTCAGGGTCAACGAGCGGATAATCAACAAGGTCAAAGTGTGGCTTCGAAATGGTGGAGATCTGTAGCTTGGGTGGATGGTCTTGGTGGAGTTTTGTTTTCAGAGGGGTGGATAAATTATTCTGTCCAGAAGGTAGGGCGACCCGTGCGGGCTGGACTTAGTACCAGTCACTACATTGACATGTGTGCAGCCGCTCTACTACTGTGTCGTCCATCCAATTAGGTGTTTAGTACCTACCAGCTTATCTCGTATAAACCGTTGATTAACTCGCGGGTCTATTTGATGTATTGGTTGCGGAGGGATGGTCCATGTCTTCCTCCAAAATATTTCGACCGGCATTTCGTAAGGTAGGCGGTATACTCGCTTTATAGTTGGGACCGGTGAGATGGTTTCGATAATAGCCAAGAAAGCTTTCTGAATTATTGCCATAGTCTGCAAAGCACCAAGTGTAGTGAAACCTCAAGACATGCGGGACAATCAACGTGCCCGACTTCATTCCCTATGGTCAGGATAGGCACATGCTAACCATTTCCGAAGTGGCATTTCGTATTTAGGAAAAGTTATCCCTATCATTCTCGGTCTGTTGCTCAGAGCGTAAAGAATACCACACTATAGCGCTACAGATACCTGGATGAAGTCGATAAGTTCATGTTTGTTGCTCATGGGTAATGTGTATTAGTGGAGGTTGGTCGGGACTCAGAAACGCGGGCCTATATATTTTAGGTGTCAGAGTATTAGGTTGTAATTATTCCTGGACACATTCGATAATTGTTTATTTTGCATGATTTTTATCTTATGTTTTGTGCTTTATCCTATCAGACATCTAAGCACGAAATCGTTCCAAGCTCTTTTAGTGTCGTTTGTTCAAGTAACTAGCAATAAATATATCAGAAGTAAATCTAATCTCATGGTTAATTATTATTTCCCCACAGTGTTTTGTTTCATACGGTCTTAGTTTAGCAATCGAAGCACTGGTTATAATAAATACTTCGTGCGATAACTTATAGATTGACATATTTTCCAAGCTTTTATTCATTGTGCATAATTTAGGTAATATTAAGTAGTTATGTGCATTTCTCAGTGATTAAAAACCCATGAGTTTTCATTACTTATCTAATTAAAACATCCCCTAGGGATTGTTTTTCATCAATGCTTATCGAAGGATCACAAGGCAAAGTAGGCTAGGAAGTCAAATTAACACTTCTTTAAGGAACTCTAGATAGGGATAGGGTAGGTCTAATTTTTGCCTCCAAATGGTATGCCTAAGGGTGGGGTGTGGTTTGCCCTTAAGAAAACCACCTACTTCGGTTTGGGCACCCTGTAGTATCCCGACTTACACAAATTTAATGATAACTAATTTGCTTGGCACATACCTGTTTTAATGCTTTTCTGTACCAATATATATTTAAATAAATAACAGGCACAATTTTAACTTGCAAATCGATGCCAAATGTAGATAAGATATTTGCATATGTTAAGAGTCTAGATTTTTTGAAACTGAAGTTGCTTCAAATCTTATACGATAATAAGGAGCTTCCTCTGAAGTGAGAAAAGTATCAGCTTACAGACCGTTGGTCACTTATACCATTAAAGCCCTAATCACATGTATTGATAAAATGCAGTTAAATGTTGAAGAAGAGTTAGGAAATATTGACTCTAAAAAAACTAAACCTTGCCTGACGTCATGGATTTCTGTCACCGTTAGTAAGGCCTTTGAAATACGGAGATAACATCAAAAACTACTTGCAAAAGTACCATATGTGACTTGTTCCAAAGAGTTGCCTCTTGGTTCCTTTTTAACGTCCTTTAAAAAGGAGCATAGTTATACGATGTGAGCAACTAGTAAGTGTCAACCACTTGCACACTTGATGGGACCACTTTGTTCACGAGTATATCTTTTCTTCACCTCCTGATACTTTTTCTATCTCTATTATTAACCGTGTGCTATATTATTTTTTTTACGGGAATGATGCCCCGATCCTCCTACCAAGAGAATATTGGTTCCTGACCGCTGCGTCATATACAATGCCTATGATTCCGGAACGCTCATGGAGTTGTAGCTATACCATTTCTTTAGCGTACTTAAGTTATTCTTGCACTACTTAATAAAGATGACTCTGATGATGAGTGTATTGTATACTCCGATAGCAGCGCTGTACTGTAAGATGCTATCATCTGTGATTAATTATTCCTCCTGCTTTACATTAATAAAATCTTCGCGATAGATGTTCAATTAAGGCTTTTGATGAATCTAATCTCAAACAATGTGCCGTTATTTTGTTTTAAATTAATTCACCCCCTATTTTAACATTCTGATCATGACTGTAAGTTAATGTGCATTCAGTAGTTATTTTCAAGATGTTTTTTATATTAACATTATTATCATTACTTAATTGTCGCACAACTGTCGGTATATGTCAGAATAATTTTATCTTAATTTGATTCTTTTGTTTACTAACTATACACTTTTTGTATCAAGTAGTTATTACATAAACAGCGAACCTATTCCCAATACATTATGAACTTTGACATTCGGCAGAATGTTTCTCGAATATTTCTCCCATTCTCGTGCTTGTTTACAAATGCACAGCTAGGAAAGTGAATTCATCTAAATGATTTTCAGTGCATTATATATATAATTTTCTGAATGACGAACAATGAAGTTTATTAGATGATAGAAAGGCAAGAGATGTAAGCAAATGTCACTAGAAATTGTTTTGAAATGCTTTTGGGGTTTTTGTGTTTGCTCTACTGGATGGTTTGACTGCTCGACTTTCGTTTCTGTCTCGATCTTTGACAGAGCTTAATTCAAAAATAAGAACATACCGCGCCATTGAGCGACCACTTAAAATTCAGCTAGCCTATATGGGAATATAAAACGCTTGTTACTAAAACTCATAATTTTCATTATATTTCGTAATTCGCAGGGACTAGATGATAGTTTTGTTATGACTTTATGTCCGGCTTCTTATCACGTGATTTATCCATCAATCAAAATACGACTTATACAATCTTAGCACTGTACCAAACCAATGACGTTCGACCGGTATGAGCAGCCTAGCGTCCTTATTGGTCTTATATCCGCCTAGCCCTTCCGCTTCAGACCAGAACACCAATACCAGCTCCCACTATGCGAATCGAATCATTTATTTCAGACACACTGGGTTTATATATCAGTCAAACAGACCGCAACGCACCATAAAATAGGAAATAGCATTTGTACACATTAAAGCCAAAAGGTGGCTGTGAATGTGGTAGGCAGTAGTCAATAAACTGAACATAGCTTAAGAACAGTAAATCGTACAATAATAAATTATAGGTCAAAATAAAGCTTATAATAAGAGGACTATAAATATACACAATCTAATTATTGAATAGTTATACCATAAACATGTATTGATACTATTAGTCAAATAATATGTCTCAGAAGTTACTTGTGATTTAATCTTCGCTCGGATATAACAGGTTTTCTTGTGGAAGAAACCTTTCAAGTCAGTAAATTAACGTTAGGCAGTTTTAGGATTAGGGGCTATGTTCGAGGGGTTTTAGAGTTAAGAGTTGAGCTTCAAATGATGTAGAGCTAGCAATTAGATTCTAGCTTGATTACAGAACTATGATCAACAGCTTTAACTGTTGGTATTTAACAACAAACTGTTCATAGATGTTGTTAAGGCTTCCAACCTGCGGTAAATTTATCATTTTTCTGTAATGTAGAGCTCTTATAAAAAAGTTCATTTTGATTGGTTAACCTCAGGGCCATCCCTGAAGTTGCTTAAGGTCGTCGGTATAGTATGATTTTATTCTATCAAATAGAAACAGTGGTTTAGTTGTCATACTAATGGTAAATCAATTCCTTATGATGACCTGGGTTATGACTGGTTTATATTATCAGGTTCTGCTTCCTTCACATGTATTTATCGCTCTGCTCATTGCCCTGTTCAGTCGAACATTATGTAACTTTTACCACATGCATTATGGCGCCCATATGATTTATCTTAATTTTGGGATAGGAAAATTAATTTAATCTTTCCGGTTATTCTGTACACTCGTATTTGTTCTTGTCAAA